CGGGGATTGGCAGCCATGACCCACACTACCTCAGCTGAGGATGTGCCCCAGCACAGCCCGGTTGTGGGGCCATGAGTCCCAGGAAGCCCCTGGCCAGGGGGAGCTCAGCACTTACATGACGGACTTCTTGTCACCCTCGAGCTCTGCAGAGGGAGAGGAGAGGTCAGTGCAGGAGGCGGCGGGCTGGGAGCAGACCCCCTGCTCTTGAGCAACTCAGGGCTTGTCCATTCACAGGCTGAGCATGCCATGCCAGGCGAGGTGGGTTTGCCGAGTCCACGCAGCCCCCCTGGCCCCTCTGCCCTCCAGCTACAGCCCATGCCGGGGCACAGCTCAGCCCTTGCCCCCCCCACCAGTGTCCTCTTGCATTTCAAAGCAGCAGGACACCTGCTTCTTGGGTCCAATGGGCACCCACTGCCCAGCCCAGAGGAGTCCTGCAGCACCAGGGGCAAAGTAGGGCCAGGTGGCAGTATGCAGATGGAGGTTAGTCCTGGGGATTTACAGGTCTTTTGAGTGAGGGATAAGAAGAGTCACCAGGGCGCCAGAGAGCTGGCTGGAGCCAGGAGATGGAGACAGAGGCGTTCCCCTGCGCACCTCCCCATAAAACCCCTCCCCACCTCTTCCAGCACAAGGACCCCCAAACCCAAGGAGAGAGGATTCCTGCCAAGCGCCCCCACAATGTCCATCTGCATTTTCCTGGATGCCTCTAGCTCCTTTCCATGGCCTGCCTGGGCTCTGACATTGCCTTGCTCTGTAAGCAAGCAGGGCCTGGAGACATGCTCATGAGGAAGGGTCTCCACAGGACGAAGCCCCACTGCCCTGGCACATACCTTTTTTTTGCTTCATCGCTGCAGGGAATGTGAGAGGGAGCAAGGTACAGGGTGAAGTGGCATAGTGTCCCCGCCTCTTCCAAGATGCTCCAGGTTTAATGGTTAAACAGCCCCGACGTCTCCCCTGCCCTCCCAGCTCCGAGGCACTGCCAGCCCTCGCCCAGCAGAACTGGGAGCAGGGACCAGCACCCTGGGACACCCAGCTAGCGAACAGACCCTGATGTCCCAGCTTTCAGCTGTCCCCAAGGGCAGCCTACGGTGGGGAAGACTGACTGGTTTGGCATGGGCTGGAGCAGAAGTGGACTGCCCCATCTTAGCCTCATGAGATGGGGAAGGGTCAGAGTCCTCCACACCACCTGCTGGAGGGACGGCTGCACCAGCGCCTCTGCATTCCTCCCCCAGGAAGGGCCTGGAGAGGAGATCGAGTCTTGGCACTTATGTGCTTCAGTGGAAACAAAGAGTACACTTTAATGCTACCAAAGGTTTCACAAGCAAGCCTGAGTCCTGCCCCTCTGCCACTGCTGTGGCTTGTGGCTGGGGTGCAGGGGCCGGGTCTCTACAAGCCCAGAAGAACAAGTGCCTTTTGCTCCTGGCCTGGTCTCTGTACAGTTCTCCCACACTTCAGCCTTGCCTGCAGATGAGGGCTGAGCCCCACATACCCAGCACCTTTGACAGCCTTGGTAGCACCTGACCACTAGGCATCTCCACGCAGATAAGGGCACAGGGGACGTGCTGCCGGGGCACACTCTAGTGTTTCCTCCCCAGTAGCACTGCTCCCTCCCTGGCCGGGTGAATGGACAGCAGGTTAGAGCGTCCCGTGCTGCAGTTTTCCCAGCATCTTCTTGACTTCACTCTCAACTCGTAGGAACTTGGCTTTTCTCCAGGGGTTGGCAGTCTGTCTCCGGCTGCTCTCCAGGTCCTGCAGGATGAGGGCAAGGTGCTGCCGAACCCGCTCGCGGTCCCAGAAAGGCAGGTTTCTCTGCACTATGTTCAGGATGTTGGACCAGTACTCGGAGACGTCAGTGCCTGCTGTAAGGAAGACCAGCGCTCTGACGCCGTCCCGGTCCATGCGCAGGCTGTGAAGTGCCCGCTTGCCGTCCTCGCTGATGTCGTTGAAGTACAGACTGTGGGTTGAGAGAAAAGGAACTGTGAGGGCTGGGGGCAGGACACAGAGGTAGAGAGGGACTCCCTGCTCACTGCCACAGGGAGGGACACTGGGTCAGAGGCATCGCTTGCAAGAGGGAAGAGATGGGGCAGAGTGAACTCACTGCACTTTGTCCAGCGTCACGTGCTTTTTGGCCACCTCCACCACACGCAGGGCAGCTGTGTCTGTCAGGGAGTTGTAGCCCAGGTTGAGCTCCTGGAGGTGCTGGTTCTTGGCCAGGTGCTGAGCAATGACTTCAGTGCCCCGGTCCCCCAGTGCAGTGTGCAGCAGGGACAAATAGGTCAGTGAGCAGTTGCCTGCCAGTGCCTCAGCCAGGTATTGTGCCCCCTGCTCGCCCACGGGGTTATTTGCCAGCCTGTGGACACAGGAGTTCAGGGCAATGCCAAGGCTAGGCAGGGGGCCCAGGGCCAGGACACATGGTGGGCAGCAGAGACAGTTTCATACAAGGACAGAGGCAGTACTCACCGCAGGTTGCTCACCACGCACTTGTCATGCAGGAGCAGGTCACGGATTTCCTTGCAGGCATCAGAGCCCAGGCTGTTGAGCTGCAGACTGATGCAGAACGAGACATGGGGGTGGCAGAACTGAAGTGGCTGTTACCTAGGGGGCTGGCAACCCTGCTCTCTCCATTTTCCCTGGCCCTCCCCATCACCATCCTACCTGAGCTCCCCAGACAAGGCCACGCAAGGCTTCCTCTCCAAAAGGGAGCACACTGAAACTGCACCAGAGCTTGGGTAGCACCACCCAGCAGAGCCAGTGCCAGCAAGAGCAAGGGAAGGGAAGGGTGTGCAGGGTCCGCAGGGCGTGGGTGAAGGTCTGAGGAGGGATCAGGACCCCACCAAGCCCTCCTGAGCCTCTGGAGGAAGGAAGTGCTGCACAGCCCCGCCGTACAACTGAGTCAATTTCTGCTGAGCACGGCTCGCCACCCCCTGGGCGACAGGAAGACTGCAGTTCCACAAATGGACTGGAATGGAACCCATCCCTTTGGCCAGCCCAGACTCCTACTCTTGGGCTGCATATCTCCTGCCCAGAGTTAGTAGTAGCAGAGCTAGCTATACAGAGATGCTGGCTAGCTGCGGGGGAGCAAGCAATGGGAGGGACCTGGGTCTACCAGGGGAGCTGGCAGCCCAGCCTGTGGTACCAGATGCAGAGAGCTGCCCAAGGAGTCCTACGGAAGGGTGTGTTGGGACTGCAAATCCCAGCATGCAGTGCCCTAGCAAGGCTTCTCAAGGAGTGTCGCATGTTGGAAGCTGTAGTCCCCTAGGTCTGCACTGAGGATAAACAAGGGCATGCATGCCCTTCTCTACCTTTGCCATGCTCAGGCTCCTAGTGTATCCCCATGATGGGCAGAGGTGAGGGAGAGCCCAATTTTTGAGCACTGCCCAAGGGCAGAAGAAGGCGATACTCACTGGAGAGCTTTGCATCGCAGCAGGACAGGGAAGAGGATCCTCAAGCTGCTCGTGTCAAGGTTGCAGGAGGTCAGGTTCAGCTCCTCCACTTCGTGGCACGTGGTGCCCATGACAGACACCAGGACAGAGCACTTGAGAGGAGTCATCTTGACGGATGAGAGGTTGACAGTCCGGAGGGAGCGGATGGCCTCAGCTGTGAAGCGCTCGTTCTGGAACTCATGCAGGAAGAAGAGGTAGTCCATCAGCTCGGAGGGGGGCAGCCCCTTGCGGCTGTTCCTGATGACCGTCTTCTTCATGGCCTTGGCGATCTCAAAGGCCGCCAGGTTCTTGATGGAGCAGCCCAGCTGCTCCAGGATGGCGCGGTTACGGCGGGACAGTATTCCACCCATGAAGATGGGGAAGAGCTCAAAGACCTCATCATCAGGGGCCTCATCAGGGTGGCGCATGGGGCCCTCCACGCCCAGGATGCTGGAATTGATCTGGTCCAAGACATCATCATTGTAGTAGTCTTCCTCTTTGAACAGCTCCTCTGCCATGGTGTGGGCAATAGCATCCCGATCCTTACCGCTCAGCCGGGAGAAGTAGCGAGGGAAAATTTTGAGCAGGTTGAAGAGCACTGGCAGGAAGCGCAAGGGCAGCACCTTGGAGATGATACTCAGAACGACAGCAACATCTTCACTCACCTTCCCAATGACCTCTGACAGCTCCTTCCCCACTCTCTGTGCCAGGGTCTTCTTCTCACCCAGCACCACATACAGGGCTGCCAGGTACTCCTGCATAGCAGGGATGGTGAAGACAAAAGTGTGCTCTTTGCCTGGCTGCACACATGGAGTGAGGAAGAAGCGGAAGACATCGCTGCGGAAGACCTCCAGGAGGTTGAGCTCACTTTCAGTCTTCATCTCCACCTCAAAGCACTGCTGCAGGTCGTCCTCTGAGAAGCAGGTCTTACGGGACATCACCCCTTCATAGGCCAGCTTGCCCACCGTCTTGGCCACGTACTTCATCATGGAGATGTTGGTGGGGTCGGTGCTGTCCAGCACCTCCCCGCTGAAGTTGAGCCTCAGGAAGCTGGTGTAGATGCCAGTCAGGGTCTGGCTAGGAGGCACTGTCCTGGTAAAGTAGAGGAAGTGCAGCGTGGTGCACACCAGCCAGCAGTAAGAGGGCAGGAAGCAGGCAGCGGCTATTTGGTTGTGGCGCTCCAAGTTCCTCGACAACATCTCAACCAAGTTTTCCTGCTCGCCTGAGCTGCTACCCACACTGTCCTCTCCACTGCAGCCAGGCTGGCTGAGACGCATCTGGAAGTACAGCTTCTGCAGGTTGGTGTCAGAGAAGCCACAGATCTCAACGTAGCGGCCCACGTACTTGCCGGGGATCCGGCGCACTGCTGATGGGCGCGTGGTGACGATGATGCTGGCCTGGAAGCAGAGGCTGGGTGAGTTTGGAGGTGCTCCGTCTGTGGCTTTGATCTAAGCTCAGCAGGGTCCCAAGTGCATAACCCACGTATAGGCGCACAAGGATCACACCACCCAGGGGCTAGGGTTCAAGAAGTTGCTGCCCAAAGGGCACTGGTTCAAATCTGGCCCAGGCAGAGGGGACAGAAGAGCTTTCCCCATACCCTACTAAACATATATTGAGTCTGGAAGACCACAGCCCAGCAGACTGCCTTCTTTGCCTTACCAGGACTCCCAAAAGACCCCACAGAGACAAACCAGTAACAGTGACATGACGCCACCTTGGTGAGTCCCTCCAGGAATGGAGGCTGCCTGTTCGCTCACAGCCAAGCTGGACTACAAGCAACTAGCAAAACGGCCATGCCTGCAATGCCCCAGGGCTCATCCCCAGCCTTTCTCCAGCATGAAGGAGCTGGAGGGAGACACTGACCTCTGGCAGGAGGTACTTTCGCAGCAGGTTGACCACGATGGCAGAGGGAGGCACAGGTTCATTGGGGTCACAGCACAGCTCTGTGCCAGCCAGCCGGAAGTCCAAGTTGAGGCGCTCCAGGCCATTGAGGATGAAAAGCACCCTGAGGTTGGAAGTGCCCAGCATTGGCACCACATCCCGGAGGTGCTGGTACTTCTTCGTTATGAGGCGCCGCAGGGAGATGGAGGCATGACTGTGGGACAGGTCCTCGCAGGAGAAGGGGATGACCAGCTCAAAGCGGGGTAGGCGACCATGGCACCAGTCCACCACCATCTTCTTGATGAGGGTGCTCTTCCCTGTGCCCACGGTGCCGTACAGCACCACATTCTTCACTTGCCGCCCACAGGCATCCACATCGAAAAGGTTCTGGAGGCTGATCACCTGGCTGCAGGGCTGCTGGAGCTGGTTCTGGATGGTTAGGTCAGGTGAGGGCTTCAGGATCTCCTCCAGGGAGCTCTCCCGGATCACTGGGTCCACGTGGACTGCGTCCAGTGAGAAGGAAGGGCCGAACTGCCTCTCTTC